GTGAAAGTGCATGCTACTTAGGTACGTAGTTTCCAACTCCATTTAACTTGGCATGGATTGCGTATATGCTCCTGTAAACAGTAGGGAAAGTAGAAGTGGTCAGCCTAAATAAAAAAGGTTGCTCTGAACATAATTTCGGGGAGCGTAACGTTAGCCTTCTATTTCCGCCTGAATTTTACCCTTTTCATATCCTTAACTTTGACACAACTGCTCGTGACCTTAGCCGCAAACGTATTCCTAACTTACCCATATCCTAATCTTAACCCAAGGCCCATTTTCTCCAGAATGTTCCGTAAAGACGCCTGTATTAAGAGCGTTTTCTGCAATCGTTTCTATAAAGACGGCTTCGCCCTTTACTTTTATTGCTGTCAACATTTGCTCGGTTGTCCTTGAAGTAAACGAAGAGTCGAATCTCAGGGTTCCTTTGTTTTAATCCAGAAACATGTGCTTGCCATTAAAAACAATTATTAAACAAGACTACATTTGCCCATAAGAATTAGTGGAAGGTTCAATTTCGCCTAGTACACTTTCCTGGTTAGTCCGCTTTGTAAATAGTAGTTAAATCCATTGGGTATTCTATTTGAAAAATCGGATACAATAGCGGAGTATTTTCGTTTAAATCCAGCCTCCTTTTTGCTTAGTCTGAGGGCTGTAAATATACTTGGTAGTTATAATTACATAAGTTATACTACTGTCTACCTCGTTGACGAACTCACACCTGACGGCTAATGGAACTCATCTGTCCCGCTCTGCCTTAGGCACCGACGGAATCCCTGACAGCCATAACACCTAGTAGTAGGCAGGCAGTGTTTCCAACAAAGAAAAGAAAGACTGGAATATTCATTGCTGGGTCATTAGTCGTCGTCAGTCAGTCATAATCAGACCCAAGTGGAGTCCCACCCGAACTTGATCAGAGTTAAACGCCGTAACCATTCAGCCACGTGGTCGTTGTCTCACCAGTTTAGGTCTGTCTACGTGCTTTCAGCTTGTGAATATTACGCGGTTACCCGGCCATGGCTGATGAACTTCGAACCAAATATTTACAGAAAGGTTATGTCTCTGCTTATAAACCTTAAATATACTGATCACGAATTAATTTCAAAGTAGATTTAAAAAAGCTGAAACACTTGGCATGTATTCCTTCATCATAGTAGTGCACACGCAAAATGGCCGCATTTATTCCGATTACTTAAGTTCGTATAGAGCAACTGGCGTGATTTTTGGACCGAGAAATTAGCAGAATGGATACCGAGCTTCGCCTACTAAAGGCAAAGGCGCCACAAATATTAATGCCCGACCACGATTTTCCATGCAATTCAGCACGCCATAACGAATTATTTTTTTAAGCTTGGTGGACTGGTCACTTATACCATCCTAGTAATTAATTGTGTTCCATTTTCATACGCCTTGGTTTGCAAAGGGGCACCTTTCAGAAAAATTCTGATCCCGGATATCGAAAAAAAACGAGCACAGGCAGTAACAAGGACTTCCTCCCATGCGTGACGGGCAGTTTTAGTGTCTGAACAGCTGTGGAACCAAAAGTAACTACTCCTACGATGGAAGCCAATCAAATGTATGCGAACACGCAGTTCAGCGCTGTGAAGTCACACAATTACTCCACTCGGTACAGTTTCTCCACCATTCGGAGGAGAGTGCGGGAAGGCAGACATCGCTGTTCGGTGTTACTTCTCTGCTATTGGCTGGCCCTGGTCAGACGTGCGCCGAGCACGTAAATAGTGGCTTACCGCTACCTCAACTATATAATATAGCGGATAGGTTAGCAGTGGTTCAGTTATTTTTTGCTCTAGCACAATATGTGGATGAACGAATGTCTAGCCTGTCCCTCGGCACGGGACTCTGGAGTGGAGGCCTGGATCTGCCATCTTGCTGAAGCCCATGTCATGCCAACCGAATGGACCAGCGAGCGTGCCGCCCGCCTCGTTGGCCCCGCGGCACGGACGCCCTACACTCTTATTACGGAGTCCAAAAAGAAGCGGTGTCGTGGCAGCGTACCTCGACCTCTTAACAGCTTCATGGTGAGTGTCTCCAACTTTCCCTCTAACTCACGACCAACCTTCCAACTCCCCAACCCTGTTTGCTATTTCTGCCACCACCTCCTCTTCATTTTGTCCTCCTCGTAGCCTCCCGCCTCTCAGCTTGCATTATTAACCTAAGTCGAAATTGAATCTTTCTGTGCCTTCCCTTGTAGATCTTTGCCCAACACATTCGTCGCAACGTCCTGCGCGTCTTTGGAAAGGCCTCCAATTCCGTGATCAGTCGTCAGCTCGGTGAGATCTGGCGTACCCTTCCACGACCTGTGAAGGAACGATACGATGCGGAGGCTGCTCGGCTGGTGAAGATCCACCAGATCGAGTTCCCAGACTACAAGTACCAGCCAAAGAAGAAGACTCCTGCTGTCGCTGCTGTTTCTGTCTCCACAAACCTACTCTCGGCTGCCGCCGCTGCTGTAGGTGGTGCTGATGTTCACCGCAAACGTTCTGCCACCATGCCCTCTATAAACCAGCTGACTGCTCGCACAACCCGACTTCCCAGCGTAAGCATTTCTGTCGCAGAAAGACCGCACAATGAGCAGCACTTTGCAGACTGGTACTCAAGTCCCAACATCTATATGAGTCCGGAACAGACATCTAGATATGTGTACTCAGGCTCTGGCAGTCCAAACCCATCATTCTGCGAA